AAGGCCCCTAGGAGACGTCCAAGAGGTCTTAAAATAGCCCAAGAGTGCCCTCGATGCGTCAAAACTGCTTCCAGGAGGCCCCCGGGAGGCTTCCGGATTGCCTCAATCTGGCCGCAGGTGGCCTCAAGTCGGGCCTCCACGCAGCCAAGACGGCCAATGACGGCTTCAGATTGCAGAACCGATGCCCCCAAGGGACCCTCAGACGCCCCCCCAAGAGGCACCCAAGAGGTGCCTCCAACCGCCAGTTGACGAAGCATGCGGAACACCCCAGAAGCTCCTCAGATGCCGTCGCGCGCCTGTGCTTGATAGCGTTGTCCAAGATCGTCCAGCGCCCCCCCAGCCTGGGCTAGAACCATCGCGCGCGCGAAGCGCGCGCGATGGTTCTAGTGTGTATATATATGTGTGTATATATATATATAGATATCTATATAGTTATATATATATGTATAGACATATATTTAGTCAGATATATATATATACATATATATATATCGATATATGTATATATACACATACATACATAGTTAGTTATATATTTATAACTATCATATATATAGATATAGAGATCACGGGGGGGCAGGCCTGGGGCCCGAAAGCAGCTGCCTCGACCCTCCATGGAGTACCGGGGCTCATTTTCCTGGTATTCTTACAAGGTTTCGGCGTCCCGGGCCTCGGAGGCCGCCGCGATGGTCCCGGAAATTTTCCAGATCCCCGGCGCGAGCTCCAAGACCATCCCGCAGAGGGCTTCAACAGTTTCCAGGCCATCCAAAGAGGGGGGTCACAAACCCCCTGGGACTGCCCTGGGCCGCTTCTAAATTGCTCACGACAGGCCACGCGGGCCGTGCAGATGGTCACGAAAGCCTGAGGAGGCCCCGAAGACGCCCAAGAGCGCCCTAAGAGGGCCCGTGAGGACCCCAAGAGGGCCTTCAAGAGGCACAAATCGGCACATCTCCTTCGTAAAACGTGCATTTTCGGCATACTCGCTGGCTTCGTCTTCGCAGTGCCCCAGACGCCCCCGCGGAGCCCCAACACAGCCCAAGAGAGACCCAAGATGGCCCCAGACGGCCCAAAAGGGTCGGCCTGTGGGGCTCACGGAACCCCCCAAGACGGACCAAGAGGCCCCGAAGCCGGCCCAGGAGGCCCCCAAGACGGCCTCAGGGAGGCCCAAGAGGGCCCCGTTCGAAATCATGTTCCCGGAAACCTCTCCGGGAACATGATTTCGGGGCTCCCAGGGCCCCCCCCAGGACAGCCTCAGCGAGGCCCCAGGGCCCGAGATGGCTTGAAGATGGCAGAAGTGGACCCCAAGAGGGCCTTCAAGAGGCAAAAATCGGCACACCCATTTCCCTCGTAAAGCGTGCGTTTTCGGCATGCTCGCTGGCTTCGTCTTCGCAGTGCCCCAGACAGCCCCGCGGAGCCCCAACACAGCCCAAGAGAGACCCAAGAGGGCCCCAGACGGCCCAAAAGGGTCGTCCCGTGGGGCTCACGGAACCCCCCAAGACGGCCCAAGAGGCCCCGAAGCCGGCCCAAGAGGCCCCCAAGACGGCCTCAGGGAGGCCCAAGAGGGCCCCGTTCGAAACCATGTTCCCGGAAACCTCTCCGGGAACATGATTTCCGGGTTCCCAGGGCTCCCTAGGGGGCCCCAGGACAGCCTCAGCGAGGCCCAAGAGGGCCCGAGATGGCTTGAAGATGGCCGAAGAGGGCCTCAAGAGGGCTCAAGAGGGACAAATCAGCCCGTTCCCGTAGTATAGCGTACATATTCAGCATACTCCCTTGCTTCGTCTTCGCAGTGCCCCAGACGCGTTTGAGGAGCCCCAAGACAGCCCAAGAGAAACCCAAGAGGGCCCAAGACGGCCTAAAAGGGTTTTCTGTGGGGCTCACGGAACTTCCCAAGACGGCGCAAGTGGCCCCAAAGCCGGCCCAGGAGGCTCCCAAGACAGCCTCAGGGGGGCCCAAGAGGGCCTCGTTCGAAGTCATGTTCCCGGAAGCCTCTCCGGGAACATGATTTCGGGGTTCCCAGGACGCCAAAAGACAGCCCCCAGAGGCCCTGGACACGCCGAGGATGGCTTCAGGACGGCCGACGACGCCGCCCAAACGCCCCAAGAGAGCCTCCAGAGGCCCCTCCAAAGGGCCCCAGAAGCCGAACATCATGCATTTTCCGATGGTTTTTGAAGCATTCTTGCGCTCTCCCATGTTCCGCCTCCCCACGGTCGCCGTTCGCGTCAGAGGCCCTTCAGATCGCTCCAAAACGGCCGAAGAGGCCCCCAAGAAAGCCCAGAGACGGCCCAGGAGGCTCCCCAGATAAGTCAAGAGGGCCCCGAGAGCGCTCCAAGAGAGCCCCAAGAGCGACATAAGAGGGCCCGAAGAGCGCGACATTTCAAGGTCTCCGGCCTGAGAGGCTCCTAGGACGCCCCCGGAGGCCATCAAGAGGCTCCCAAGAAGCCCCGAGAGGCGCCCAAGAGGCCCCCAGGAAGCCCCAAGAGACCCCCAAGGGGCCCCAGGGAAGCCCCCTGCGGGCCCCCAAGACACTTTGGTAAATCGTATTTTCCAGATAGCTTTCCGGGAACATGATTCCTTGGGCTTCCGCCCGCCGCCCCAACCATGTTTCCAATAGGCTTGCCGACAAGGTCAAAAGGCGCCCCTCGGTAAGGCCCCAGAGGCCCCCCTCTTAGAGAGCCGAACATATCATGCTCCCAGAAAGCTTCCCGGGAACATGATTCTCTATCTCGGAGTAGGCCCGGGGGGGGGGGCGGGCCGCTGCCTGTTCCCCCCATTGGTGCCCACCGGGGGTTGCGGGGGGGGGGTCCAGAGCTCCCGAGGCGGCCCGAGCCCGCCCCGAAGCAGGCCACGACAGGCTAAGGGGGTCCCGAGAGGGCCCAAGACGGTCCCACGATGCCCCGAAGACGCCCAAGATGCCCTCAAGACAGCCGACGAGGACTCCAACACGCTCCAGGATGGATTCAAGAGGCTCCCCAAGAGGGCCCGGGGAGGTAAGATTCGCTCGTTTTCCGAGTGTTTTGGATTTTGGTGTTCTCGCTTTTCCCGCTTTCCAGCGCTCCTTCACGGCCTCGGAGGCCCTTCAGATCCTTCAAGAAGGCCCACGAGGCCCCGACGAGGGCCCCAAGACGGCCCAGGATGCTCCCCAGACAACCCAAGTGTGCCCCAAGAGCGCGCCAAGAGAAGGCCCAGAGGGGTCCCGAGGCGGCCCGGGCCCGCTCCGAAGCAGGCCACGACAGGCTAATGGAGGTCCCGAGAGAGCCCTAGACGGTCCCAAGAGGCCCCGCAGACGCCCAAGATGCCCTCAAGACGGCCGACGAGGACTCCAACACGCTCCAGGACGGACTCAAGAGGCTCCCCGAGAGGGCCCTGGGAGGCAAGATTCGCTAATTGTCCGCTGTTTTTTCAAGGATTTACGTAGGCGTTCTCGCTTCCCCCGCTTCCCAGCGCTCCCTCACGGCCTCGCTCGGAGGCCCTTCAGATCGCTCCAAGACGGGCCACGAGGCCTGGAAGAGGGCCCCAAGACGGCCCAGGTTGCTCCCCAGACATCCCAATTGCCCCAATAGCTCCCCGAGAGAGGGCCCAGAGGGGGACCGCCAACCGATATTTCAAGGTCTCTCGCCCTAGAGGCCGCCTGTAGGCCCCCGGAGGCCACCAAGAGGCTCTCACGAAGCCCCGTGAGGCGCCCAGGAGGCCCCCAGGAAGCCCCAAGAGACCCCCAAGGGGCTCCCAGGGAACGCCCAAGAGGCCCCCCAACACAGCCCAAGAAATCATGTCCCCAGAAAACCTTCCGGGGACATGGTTCATCATGGGCCCGAGAGTTCCCGGAGGCCCCTAAGGGGCCCCCAGGGAACGCCCAAGAGACCCCCCAACACACCCCAACAAACCATGTCCTCAGAAAGCCTTCTGGGGACATGGTTCATCATGGGCCCGCGAGTCTCTGGAGGCTTCGAAGTGCCATCATGCTACATGAGAGCTGTCTGGGAAGTTGATTGGAAACATGACTGATCGCCTTCTCGCGGCCCTCCGCAGATCGTTTCGCACAAAATTGCCCCAGGGGCCCTCTTGAACCGACGACGACGACGACGACGAAACGACGAAGACGACGACGACGACGACGGCACGCCCCAGCAGGCTCTCCAAGACGCCCCCAAACCCATGCTCCCAGAAGGCCTTCTTGGAACCCGATTCATACGGCCTCCGCCCCCCTACAAAACCATTTCCCCCGAAGGCAATTCGGAATGTAGATTGGCATGCGTGGACTGTGGTCCACTACTTCAGTGGAGCGATGAATTCGTCAAGGTCTGGGGCCTGCTAGAACCTGAGCGCGCGCGAAGCGTGCGCGATAGTTCTAGTATGTGTGTATGTATGTATGTATGTATGTATGTATATATATATATATAGATAGATAGATACCGGGGGCCACATGTCGTCTGGCGGCCGTATCAGCCGTATCAGCTATGTGTTGAGCAAGAGACTTGGTGCGGCAAAGCAGGAGTTCAAGGTGTTGAATTCAACGTTGTCTCGAGCATCGTTGTCTCGGGGCCGACAAGTGAAGATCTCTGACGCCTTCATCGTTTCATAATTATGTTGATGTCTTGTCTCCGCTTGCCTGGATAGATTTGCAGCCTCCCGAGAGACATGTTGGACGGGCCGATATCGTTTCGGCTCGAGCGCTTTGGAGAGAATAATTGTCCATGGTAGCGTGAGCGGATGCGCCCCCAGCGCCGAGAGCTGCAGCCTGCGATAGAGCAGCGGCGGGGCCAGGCCCGCAGAGGGCTCCGAGGCGCGGGCAAGCGCACAGGCGCTGGAGGCGACCAGCCTCGAGGATCCAGACGAGGGCGAGAACGGGTTCGAGGTGCTGTCGGAGAAGGACACGACCCAGGTGTGGGTCTCACTGGCAGCGCGGCTGGTGAGGCTGGCCTTCAAGAGGCGCTGTTGGGCGCACCTCGGACAGCTTCTGTGTGCGATCAAGAGACAGGGTCAATATGGCAGCTACGGTCCAGGACGTCCAGGCACTTCGACAGGCTTTCGAGCAAGTGCAGGGAGAGCTACGGCAAGCACGAGCGGACGCGGACGCCGCGAGTAGAGCGGCGCAGGAGGCTGCGCAGCGTGCGCAGCAGGTGCTCGGGCAGCAGGGCGCAGCCGCAGCGGCGGCGGCGCAAGCGCCAGACCCTGGACCTGAGAGGATGGCCGCGGATATGAAGATGATAGCCAAACCAGAGATGTTCGATGGGGCCAAGCCGCCATGGAGAGACTGGTCGGTTGTGTTCGAGGCGTTCGCAGGTGCGACGAACCCGAACATGGCGGCGGCGATGGCCAGAGCGAAGCGAGTGGCAGAGCTGGTGCTGATGACGAACCTCGAGCCCGGAGACATGCAGTTGTCCAGGACGTTGGGGTACTGGCTCATCCAGACGTGCAGGAGCCAGGCGCTCGACGTAGTGCTGAGCGCGGGCACGCTTGAGGGATTCGAAGCCTGGCGACAATTACACCTTCGATTCGAGCCTCAGGCGGCGAGCAGGTACGCTGGGCAGCTGATGGCGCTGCTGGCCTGGGACTTCAGTGGTGAGATGATGATGCGCCTGGAAGCCTTCGAGAGGGAGATCAATTTGTACGAGTCGGCGTCGGAGGAGACCCTCTCGGACGCGATCAAGGTTGGCATCGTGCTGAGGCAGTTGCCCGAGTCCCCGCTGAGGCAGCGCATAATCATGAATGCGGAGAGACTCAAGGAGTGGCCCAAGTTCAGGGGAGAGGTCCTGAATGTTCGACGAGCCCAGGCCGCAGCGGCGGCAGCGCAGAACGGGGTGGCCCCGATGGATCTCTCAGCGTTCAACAAACAGGGTGGCAAGGGGCGCTGCAGGATCTGCAACGGCAAGGGCCACGACGAGAGGAACTGCTGGCACTGCAAGGGCGGAGCTGGAGCAGGCAAGGGCAAGTTGGACAGCAAGGGCAAGTCGAGAGGCGACTCCAAGTCGAAGAGTTCCTCGATGGGCGGAAAGGCAAAGGACGGCAAGACCGGCAAGGGGCCGAAGTGCTTCAACTGCCAGGAGCACGGGCACATGTCCAAGGACTGCCCGAAGAAGAAGAACAACCTGCGCATGATGGAGCCGCAACCCGAGAAGGCGCTGCGCGGGCCGTGGCTCGCGCCGTTCACGATCGACGAGAAGGGCGTGGCGCAGAAGGCCTTCGATCTGCTGATCGAGGGCGGCCTGGTGGGCGACGAGCTGGTGCGCGAGCTGAGCAGGCTCGGTGCGGACACGGCGCGGGCATCCCGCAAGATGGTGCTCGGTGTCGATTCGTGTGCAGCTACGACGGTCGTGCCATCAGAGCTAGCGCCGGACTACCCGACGTACGAGAATGACATGAGTGCGAAGGGTGAAGGCTACATGACCGCGAACGGCGGCTGGGTGGCCGACGAGGGCACTAAGGAGCTCATCGGGTCGGTGCGCAACTCGGACGGCTCGGCGCAGGTGAGAGGCATCAAGGCTAGGGTCGCGAAGGTCAGCAAGGCACTCGCCTCTGTCTCGGAGATGGTCGACGCTGGCCATCGGGTCGTCTTTGACGCTGGCGGCAGCTACGCGCAGAACAAGTCGACAGGGGTGATTGCACCGTTCCAAAGGCGCAACAACGTGTACGAGATGGAGGTGGAGCTGATGCCGTACAGCAAGGCGAAGGACGTGATCGGCCGCGCGGAGGCCTGGTCCAAGCCCGGCGCGAACGGCAAGAAGCAGAAGGAAATCTGCATGGTGAGGAGCGACGACGCAGGTGATGGAGCTGGATCGAATCAGGCAGCTGCGCCGGCAGCAGCAGCAGAACCAGTCCAAGAACCTGTTCAACCAGAAGCGGTACCTCCACCACCTGCCCGGGTGGTTGCTCGGGAGCGGCCGGCAGTGAGAGCGGCGCGGGGACCGTGCGAGCCGACCCAGCAGGGGCGAGAGGACCATGAAGTGTCGCACGCGCCGTATCGAGCTTGGTGCAGGCGCTGTGTTGCAGGACGCGGGCGAGCTGAACCTCATGTGACGAGGAGCCATGCGGAGGATGCGATACCAGTCGTGGCATTTGACTACGGCTGCTTCGGCAGCGGCGAGGACGCGGCCCCGATTCTGTTCATGAGGGACTCGCTGCACAGGTACACGGGCGCGGAGGTGTTGACCTGCAAGGGGGCGGCGCGCGCGCGCAGCGCCGACATGCCGGTGAAGTTCGCGGTCAACGGCGGCTGCAAGAAGGTGGTCTTCAGGTGCGACAACGGGCCGAGCATCATCGCCCTGAGGGTCGAGGCCGTCAAGAAGCTCAAGAAGGACCACGGCGTGGAGTGCTTGCTGGAGACCTCGGCGGTTGGAGAGTCGCAGTCGAACGGTCTAGCTGAAGGAGCTGTCAGGGATATGAAGGGCCTGACGAGGACCCTCAAGCACGCGGTGGAGGAGATGCACTGAGTCACGATCGGCCCGAAGCATCCGTGCCTGCCGTGGATGGTGAGGCACGGCGCAGCAGTCCACAATCGAGGTCAAGTGGACTCGGACGGGCGCACGCCGTGCGAGTTGAGGAATGGGCGCGCTTACAAGGGGGCGCTCCCGGCGTTCGGCGAGAAGGTGTTCTACCTGCCAGTCGGCAAGAGGGAGTCGACGCTGGTGGACAGGTGGTTGGAGGGCGTCTTCTACGGGGTCCGCGACGACAGCGACGAGGTGTACGTGGCGACGCCGAAGGGCGTGATGAGAGCCAGGAGCGTCGAGAGGATGCCACTGGCAGCGAGGAGCGACAGGGCTCTTTTCTCAGAGCTGCAGGGCGTGCCGTGGCGACCCGTTCCTGGTCAAGAAGGTGGAGGACTTGAAGTACCACCTGCCATGGTGAAGGTGGTGGCGGATCAGGTGGTGCCGGACGTGGATTTGCCCCCTTTTCCAGGACCTGTGGGTCCTCCTGCTCCGAGGAGGGTCTGCATCAGGAAGGGCGTGGAGCTGCGGCGCTACGGCTACACCCCAGGTTGCAGGGGTTGTGCAGCAGCTCGGGGCAACCAGCGCGCGATCATGCACAGCGAGGAATGCCGAACGAGGATCGAGAAAGCGATGGAGGACGACCAGACGTTCGGCGGTGGAGCTCGGGTGGCAGAGGCTCACCTACGGCGAGTAGCTGGTGAGCGACCCGAGAGAAGTGAAGACGAAGAACCCGGAGCCAAGCGAGGGCGAGTCGGTGATCGTGGACCAGTCGGTGAACCAGGGGCGCCAAGCTCATCTGGGACTGTGTCGGGAAGCGCTCCGGCGGCGGCGGACGTGGCCATGGGCGACGCGGCGGAGATCGGCGCGCTGCTGGAACAGCTCGGTCTCGACAGCTTGGATTTGCAGGAGGTGTTCAACCCAGGGGAGTTCGCCAAGGGAGCTCCAAAGCTCAAGCCAGGAGTGGCGATGGACCTCAGGACGGGCTGGGACTTCCGGCTCGAGGGGCAGAGGAAGCGAGCGAGAGCGGAGATTGAGGAGGGAGACCCTGCCTGCCTCATCATGTCTCCTGTATGCACCCCGTTCTCACAGCTAATGGAGTTGCTGAAGGCGAGCGGCAAGCGTGATGAGGTTAAGTTGCAGAGGCTGCTCGCGGAGTGCAAGGTCTTCATGGGCTTCTGTATGGAGCTGGCGGCCTACCAGCATTCGAGGGGGAAGTGGTTCCTGTTCGAGCACCCTTGGACGGCGTCAAGCTGGAAAGAGGAGTGCATCAAGAGCATCAGGGAGCTGCCCGGCGTCATAGTGGTCAAGGGCAGCCAGCGTGTGTGTTCGGAGCCAAGTCATACTGGCCGGACGGCTCGGAGGGCCTCGTGGCGAAGCCGACGGGCTGGATGACGAATAGCCGCGAGGCGGCGAAGCAGGTGGGGATCGTGTGTGACGGCTCCCACGAGCATGTGCACCTCCTGGAGAGGAGGGCGAAGGCGGCTGAGAAGTACCCCTTAGGGCTGGTGAAGGCAATCCTGAAGGGCATCAGGAACGAGCTGAAGATCGGTAAAGGGATCCATGCGTTCGAAGTTGGTCAGACCGCGGAGGAGCCAGAGATTCTGGACCAGGCGACCGAGGAGGAGATGGCGACCTTCTACGACGGGATCAGCGGTGCGGTGCTGGACCCGGTAGGCGTCAAGAACGCGCGCATGGACGAGATGGGCTACATAGCAGGCTCGGAGTGTTTGAGAGGAGAAAGATTTCCGAGGCGCTGCAAGTGACGGGAACCAAGCCGCTTCCAAACGGCTGGGTCGACACCAACAAGGGCGACGATTATAAACCAGAGCTACGGAGTCGGTTGGTGGCGAAAGAGACGCGGAAGCTGAGCACCCTTGGGCCTGAGGACGCTGCGGCGACCTTCGCGGCGACCCCGCCGCTGGAGGGCCTGAGGATGATTCTGTCTATGGCGATGACAGGGCGGCATGAAGATCGAGTGCTGACCTTCATCGATATCTCAAGAGCGCATCTACACTCGGAGCTGCAGAGGCCAGTGTACTTGAAGGCGCCAGCGGAGGATCTAGAGTGCAAGGATGACGAGTGCTGGCTGCTGCTGAAGGCCATGTATGGGCTGAGAGACGCCGGCTCATCATTCGACCTGAAGGTGGAGGACATCATGGTGAGGATCCTGAAGTCGAAGCAGGGCGAGTTCTCGCCTTGCATCTACCAGTTTTGCAAGCTGGTCGTTTGGAGGCACGGCGACGATTTCGTGGTGCTCGGTGGGCGAAAAAAGGCTTTCACGGAGAACCTCGGCGAGCACCTGATCGTGAAGGTACGAGGGGTTCTGGGACCTGACCCGCAGAGCGGCGACATCGACGAGATCGTGGTGCTGAATCGCATCGTGAGGTGGGTCAGGCCGAACGGCAACGACGTGGAGAAGATCGAATGCGAGGCGGACCCGATGCACGTGGAGATCATCCTGGCCCAGCTGGGCCTGCAGGGTAAGGAGAGCAAGCCAGTGGTCACGCCGGGGATCAAGAGGCAGGAGCTGGATGGAGAAGCACTACAAGGACGAGAGCGAGCCATCTACCGCTCGGTGTGCATGCGTATCCAATACCTCACGCAGGATCGACCTGATTTGCAGTACGCGGCGAAGGAATCAGCTCGAGTGATGCAGGATCCGACGATTGGCGGGTGGCAGGCCATGAAGCGGATCGGTCGGTACCTCGTAGGTACCCCGAGGCTGGTGGTCGAGTATCCACGGCAGGCAGATCGGCGAGTTGCTCAAGTCTATGCGGACAGTGACTTCGCAGGCTGTCTGAGAACACGTAAGTCTACTTCATCGTGTACGGTGATGATTGGGAAGCATTGGATTAGAAGCATGTCGACAACCCACGGGTTCAATGCTCTATCTAATGGAGAAGCGGAGTTCCACGCGCTGGCGAAGGGCGGCAGTATCGGGCTCGGCCTGAAGACTCTCGCAAAGGACATGGGTGTAGACCTCGAGATCGGGCTGAAGTGCGATGCGACGGCGGGCAAGGGCATCGCAGAACGTCGTGGAGTCGGACGAGTTCGACACCTACATGCACCTCTGCTGTGGCTGCAGAGGGCTGTGCAGCAGAAGAAGCTGCGCGTCAACAAGATCGCAGGTCTCGAGAACATCAGTGACATCGGTACGAAGCACCTGGGCGGGCCCCTGGTCAAGAAGTTCCTGGCGGCGATGGGGTTCGCGGCGAGAGCAGGTCGGAGCCGACTGGCCCTGCGGGCAGCGCTGGATGGATGAGTGGTGATTGAGACATCCCTCAGAGCGCTTGAGCTGGCGTCGGCGTTTGGCCGCGCGCTTTTGATTCTAAGGAGTGGTGGATCGCCACGCTCCGCTGACTTTGTGCTGGCCGTAAGAGTCGGTGGCCTCCCATGCGGAGGGAGCGCGGAAGGCCGGGAGGGCTGGGTAGATTTGCAGCCTCCCGAGAGACATGTTGGACGGGCCGATATCGTTCGGTTCGAGCGCTTTGGAGAATAATTATCCATTGCCTGAACGAATCAGAGCGCGAGAGACTCGACGGTCTTCGGGTTAGGTGCCTAAGAAGGATTTGCACGGTGCGTCCCTCGTATCTGAGTCGCGCGTCCAACGGCGTCGCGCTGAGCATGGCTGGCGAACCTCTGCGGCACGAAACCAGTGCCAAACGAGGAATGTGATTCATGGCATGGCGGGACTGGCGGCCCGCCTTTTTGATGTTTCACTTTTCTCGCGCGAACCGTCTGGTGCAAGGTATGATTGACTAGGCCTTGAACGTTTCGTGTTTCGACAAGGAGCCCCAGCCGAGGCCTCGATTTCAGAGTCCGCATGCTACCGCCGCACTCATTTCGGCGCGCCCTTCACGCGTGGCGCCAGAGAGAACTTCATTAAAGCCCCCAGCGGGAGGGCCCGCATGCCGCCGCCGCGACCAGTTCGGCGCACCCTTCGCGCGTTTCGCGGCGGCAAACTGGAACCCCGCCGAACGCCATAGTGAGAGGGTCCGCATGCCATCGCTGCGCCCATTTCGGCGCACGCACCACTCGCGCGCCTCGTGGTCCCACAGGATGCTCAGCCGAAAGCCGCAGTGAGAGGGTCCGCGCGCCACCGCCGCGCCCAGCGCCGCGCGCCCATCAAATGTTCGCGGCCCCATTCGGGGGCCCCCCCGCGGTGCTCGCGCTTGCATGTGGTCGGGTTTTTCGCGAGAGTAGTTTTTGGGGTGGGGGCTCCAGGAGTCTCCTCGTTGCCGCGGCCAGGTCCGCCTCGAAATGCTGGCCGGAGCGCGCCTCGGGGCTAGTCTGATGGCTCCGCGCGCCGCGAGCGCCACCGCCAGGCCGGTTGCCGCTCGCTTGTAGCAGTGGCCCCTCGTGCAGGGCGCATCCAGACGAAGCGGTCGGGATGGCGTCCGATAGGCGTCTTGGGGCTGGTCTCGGGGGCGATTTTGAGCGGAACTGGGCGGGCCGACCTTGACTTGCGTGCGTCTTTGAGCACAAGTCGAGACCGCCGTTTTTTGGGGGATTGTTTGTTTGTGTTTTTTGTTTTTGGTGGGTCGGAATAATGGAGTTATTGTTTGGCGCAAATCCGCTTGGATTGGAAGCGACCCCGCGGCTTGCTGCGGGGGCGCCCTCACTCGGCTGGTCGGCCGCGCGCTGGCCGACCCGCGTCCGCCTCCCGCTTGTGTTGTGCGGTGCTGGGCCGTGCCGTGTTTCTTCCACCTGGTACTGGGGCGGGGTATCAATACCGTGCCGTGTCTCTCTTCTCGATCCATAGTGGCCTGCGCCGTGTCTCGTATTTCGGTCCATAGTGGCCACGTGCTGTGGCCCACTGCTGTGCTTGCATGCCCAATCGGGCCATGTCTTCCTGCCAATAGTGACCGCGTGCCGCCGTTGGGCGGAGGGCGCGGGCCGAGCGTGCCGCCGCCGGCGCGGCGGACAAGGCTGCAGCTTCGCGCCATGTTTCAATGCGCAGGTGAGCGAAGCTGCGTTGTCGCTTGACAGCGGGCTGCTCCGCG